ACTAGTCTTCTTCAATCTGTCATTCCTGGAATAGGAGGCCATATAAATGTCTAATTAAAAAATGGCCAATACCAATCCATTCCCACTCCCTAATGCCAAGAGTATCAATCTTTGTTTGATGCCTTCTTGACAACTTCCAACTTTCCTAGATTCCTATTTCATGCTCTAATGAGTGTTTGCAGCTGCTTCTGGTCTTGAGCCATGACAGATCAGCACGTGAAGATCCCCAGGGCTTGACCATTAAGGTGAACTCTACTGTGCAGAGGCATCTCTTCCTTGGTTGTATTCTGAACACCTTCTAAATGGAAGGGCTTGTTTCCGAGCACTATTATCACAGGGTTCCACTACTTAGTAAGGTTTTCAATGACTAATTTCTTTTCCAAAGTAGACTGCCAGGTCTTCCTTTCTGATCTGTCTGGAAGTTCCACTGAACCTCATCCACCATGAGTGACTCTGCTGGTCTTTCTAGTATCAGAGGCATAGCTTCCAGAACCACAGCAATATGCAAGCCGACACAGCAAAATTGACAGATGAGTTGTAGGCTGTTCTTTTTTTTTTTTTTTTTAGTTGTAGACTGTTCTTATAAAGCTATTTATTAGATAAGGTAGGGGAGCTCTGTTGGCCTAGTGGCAAGAAGCTGAGCCACATTCCCAAAAGCACACTGTTTGAGGCCACCAGCTGCTCTGTAGGACAAGGATGGGTAATCTTCTCCTGTACAATTAACTGCCTCTGAAAACCCACCAAAGGGTCAGCTATGGTTTGGTTCCGATTCAACAGTACACAAAACCAAGGATTTATATATTTTGAAATTGCAAAAACAATTTTATTAGTGATTTAAATAGTGACACAATTCACTGTTTTTGTTATGTGCCATTGAGTCGCTTGCAACTCAATGGCCCGGAAACCAGCTCTATCCTGTGCCAACTTTACTGTCTCTGACTCATCTACCCTCATTACCCCAGTCACTCAATCAATTCATCTCATCAATGGTCTTCCCCTCTTTCTTGATCTCTCTAACCTTCCAAGCATGATGTCCCTCTCCAAGGACTGGTCCCTCCTTGAAACATGTAAAGTATGTCAAATGAAGCCTCAGAATCCTTACCTCCAAAGAGCAGCCTAGTTTTACCCTCTCTAGGATGAACCTGTTTGTTCTCCTAGCAGTTCATGGTATATTCAACACTATTCTCCAGCACCTTAGCTCAAAGGCATCAATTCTCTATCAACCCTAGTTCTGTCTTGTTCTCTGACGCATAGCAAGCAATTGTGAAGACTGTGGCCATGATCAGGTACACCTTATTCTCCACACTGAGGTTGCTGCTCTGCAGTACCCTGGAGAGGTCCCTGACAGTCAACTCTCCCAATGCAATTTGTCTTTTGATTTCCTGGCTGCTGGTGTCAAGAATGCTGACTGTGGAGCCAAGCAAACTAAGGCTGTTAACAATCTCAGTCTCTTCACCCTCTCTCATAAATGTTGGCAGTCAGAATCTTTGTCTTCTTGAGGCTGAGTTTCAATCCATATTGAAGGCTGTGGTCTTTGACCTTTTGCAGCAAGTGCTTCAGGTCCTCCTCAGTTCCAGCAAGCAGGGCTGCATCATTTGCATAATACAGGTTGGGTTTTGTTTTTTGGGGTTTTTTTTTTTTTGCTTTTTTTTAAAAATTGAGATTTTTTTTATGGGGGAGAGAATAGTTTAAAAGTATTATATTTTAGGGCATTATGTTTATCGTAGGAGTACGCAATGAGGGTTGCAGAGTGGATTATATTTGGGGT